TGAATTTATTTCCTGAAACAAAGTCAGGTGTGTTTTCCACCTTAAAGAAGTGGGAAGTTGAAATTGAAAACTAGACTGGCTTTAAGATCAAATGCCTAAGATCTGACAATGGAGGAGAGTACGACAAGTCAAAATTCAAAACATTTTGTACAGCTGAGGGAATTAGATTAACGAGGATAGCTCTCGGTAAAGCAAGATAAAATGGTATTGCTGAAAGGAACAAGACTTTGAATGAGCTAGCAAGATGTATGAGGATTCATTATTTAACAACATTACATTTTACTAATCTTGATATGTTATCTAGCACATCTTGATAATAGAGTTAAAGTAAGCCAATTCTTTAACTGTAGAGAACTCTTCTCACTTTTTATTTTTTATTTTTTATTTTTTTATTTTTTATAGAAGGGTGAGTTATACTCATATGATTCGATTAAGTCAAACTCAAAACCTTTGAAGAAATTTTCTGCATTTTATTTCTTTGTACAAGATTAATCCAACTACTAACTATTCATTCTTTCAAGAGGTCCATTAGACTTCATTCCTTAATAGTCGATGCTGTAGAGTAATAACTACGGCTTACCAAGACTCATACTTACAAAGTTTGGTATAAAGCATATTATATAAGACTATCAAAATTGGTTTGAGGGCTTATGTGAAAGAAAATAACAGAAGGGGAGAAGGAGCAGCACACAAATTCCACAACCTAAAAACTAGTTCCACTAGTTCCACTCTCACACACGATATCTACAGCCTTTTTTTATGGAGAAATAAACAACAAAAATAAAATAAATACTAACAGCTATTTTTAACCAAAAACTTATGTTTTAAAATAAATAAAAAAAACCACTCCTCTAAATTTGTTTAACTATGCTGAATCAACTTTCTTCAAGCCAATCTTCTCTCTGAACTCCAGGAACGGTTGTCTTGCTAACGGCTTTGTCAGAATATCGGCCAACTGTTCATCTGTGTTCACATATTCCAGTTCAATAGCTTTAGTTTGCACATGTTGACGAATAAAATGGAACCTGGTATCAATGTGCTTACTTCGATCATGGTAAACAGGATTTTTCACCAACGCTATAGCCGACTTGTTGTCAACATTAAGCTTGGGTTTTACTTGCAGTTGATTGATATTACTCAAAATCCTGTACAACCATACACCTTGACACGTTCTAGTAGTTGCGGCTATATACTCAGCCTCGCATGACGATAAAGCCACCACCTTCTGCTTCTGTGATACCCAAGTTATTGAATTTACTACCAAATAGTACAACACTCCAATTGTACTCTTCCTATCATCAATATCCCGAGCCATATCACTGTCACTAAATCCTAACAGCTCCACATTCGACAGCTTCTTATAAACACAACAAAAACTTAGAGTACCTTTCACATACCTCAATATTTGTTTTACTGCTGTGAGATGTGAAGTTGTTGGTGCCTCCATGTATCTACTCATCACACCAACTGAGTAGGCTATGTCGGCCCGGGTATTAACCAGATAGCGTAAGCTTCCAATAACACTTTTGTAAAGTGTTTTGTCAACCGTAGGTTCTCCATTCCCATGTTTGCTCATCTTCATTCTTGGTTCCATGGGAATCAAACAAGGATTGCACTCCCCCTTTCCTAACTTCTCTAGGACTTTTCTTGCATATCTGGCCTGATATAAAGTGATTGATTCACTGCTTTGTCGTACCTCAATACCCAAGTAATAGCTCAAAAGTCCAAGATCGCTCATCTCAAATTTCTGCTGCATCTCTTCTTTGAACTAAGCTATAACTTGTTTGTTTGAGCCGAATATGATTAAGTCATCTACATATGTGTCGATTATCATTGCTTCAAATCCATTAATTTTCTTGTAGAGAGCAAATTCTTGTGGACATCTAACAAAACCAAGTGACTGTAAACATTGATCAAGTTTAAAATTTCACGACCTCGGAGTCTGTTTTAATTCATACAAGGCTTTACGTAGTTTTAATACCATGTTTAGATTTTCCTTTTCAACGAACCCTTCTGGTTGAACAACATACACCTCCTCTTCTAACTCGTCATTTAGAAAAGCTGTCTTCACGTCCATGTGATGTACTTCCCAGTTCTTAATGGCTGCATAGGTAAGAATTAATCTCACTGTTTCTAACCTGGCCACTGGTGCGAATACTTCACTGTAATCTACACCAAACTGCTGTGCATATCCCTTTGCCACGAATCTCGCCTTATGTTTCATGATTTCTCCATCTAGATTTTTCTTTAATTTGAAAATCCATTTGATGTCGATTGCTTTATGATTCTTCAGCAAATTTGTGAGTTCCCACGTTCTGTTCTTTTCAATCGAGAGAATTTTGTGGGATTTCGATAATCGGCCAGGGAAATCCTTTTCTTTTCGGTGAGAGGAAATCGTTGACGGGAAGTTGTTGGAAGAAAATAAAACGCGTAAAACAACAAAGAGAGAGAATTGCTGAAATTTTGACTGCTCAGGTTGTGAAATCTTCTGAACAGATTTCCTATTTAAATATAACCTATAGGAAAAACTCAGGTTTTATCTAACAATCTCCTCCTAAAACCGGATCGTGAATCCTAAGTAGCCCGGAAATTTAAATATAACCTATAGGAAAAACTCAGGTTTTATCTAACAATCTCCTCCTAAAACCGGATCGCGAATCCTAAGTAGCCCGTGCTTGATGGAAATGTGGCAGCCACAATATTAGGAGAACGCAGACTCGGCCCCGGTCATATGGTTTGTTGCCCCCGGGTTTGACGCTCACTGGAGCAGTTATGTCGATCTGAGTCCTTCTCGGTCGTCTCCTTGTTCCAGCAATTCTTGCTCAGATGACCCCTCTCTTCCCACAGTACGAGCACTCGATTGGCCCAACATCAGTCGGCTCCTCCTTCTTTTGATTCGCCTCTTTCCCGCGCATGTGCCGGCGAGATTTCCATGGCTTCTTACACCGTCACGGAGCTTTAGGCGTGCAAGCCACTCCTCCTCAGTGAGGAGGTCTCTTTGTTCCTGAGCTTCTCCAGCAATTCTTGCTCAGGTGAGCTCTCTTCCCACAGTACGAGCACTCGATTGGCCCGTCATCAGTCGTGACCGATTGCGCGGTGCGCTTGGTGGAGAGAGATGCCAGCATCTCTGGGGGCACAGATCGTAATATGGCGGCGAACGCCAATCGATCCTCCCGGTACCTCCCGTCACCACGACGTCGGCCTCTTCGTGGTGGTGATGGAGATGCCGGCACTTTGCGGCGGCGTGGGTATGTTGTTAGGTCGACGCTCTAACCACTTGAGCTATTCAACTTGATTGTTAATAGGTTGGCTCCTCCGTAATGATATACCATCGATGGCTTCAACCGGGCTCTGATACCACTTGTGGGATTTCGATAATCGGCCAGGGAAATCCTTTTCTTTTCGGTGAGAGGAAATCGTTGACGGGAAGTTGTTGGAAGAAAATAAAACGCGTAAAACAACAAAGAGAGAGAGTGGCTGAAATTTTGACTGCGCTTCAAATCAGGTTGTGAAATCTTAAAAATGGCTGGAGAGTGGCCAATTGAATCTATGCCACTTCCTACAAAATTGCCGTCTAAAACTTCGTTAATCCATTCGACGTGTTTGTCAAATGGTCAAATGGAGAACTAATGAAATCGTGTCAATCTAAATAAAGAAAAACTCAAGTTTTATCTAACAAATTTCAGACTTCATGTCATTCCTCTAGTTCTCATTCTTAGCAGGTTCCTCATATTAGGTTGGCTCCTCTATAGAAAGAAAACAAAGGCCCACTACTTTCTCCTCTGGTTCGTTCAATTCTGTATAAATATCTTCTAGAGACCTAAACTTTTTCGGCGTCGACGAGCTTGATGATGATGCATTTGAGGTACTGTCTGGCGTTGATAAAGTTGAGGACGAATTTTTCCTTTGCCTTTCATCTGTATCAACTTCGATTTGTTCGATATTCCTCTCCTTTATCATACTCTGTTTTTCTAAAATTTGAACGGTGAAAGTTCCTCTTTGTTCATCATCACCATTTGTGATTTCTTCCCAACACCACTTTTTCTCCTCTTCGAACAATACATCCCTACTCACCATAATTTTGTTCTAAAGTGGATCCAATAGTCTGTAAGCTTTGGTTCCATCTTCATATCCCAACATAATTTTCTTCACACTTCTATTAGCAAGTTTAGGAAGGTGTGATGTATTATTGGCATGAGCAAGACACCCGAAGATTTTAAAGTAATGAACCTTCGGTATCTTGTCAAACCAAGCTTGATACGGTGTACCATCTGCAACTCCTTTTGTTGGCGATCTGTTCAGAATATACAAGGCAGTTTTGACAGTTTCTCCCCAAAATTTTGCAGGCATCTGTTTGCTCTTTAACATACATCTGGTCATCTCTACAATCGTTCGATTATGCCTTTCTACTACGCCATTTTGCTATGGTGAAAATGGTGTAGTAAGAAATCTCTTCATGCCTTCATTCTCGCAATAGTCTTTAAAGGCAGTAGATACGAACTCTCCTCCACGGTCCGTTCTAAAGCTCTTAATCTTCTTGCCTTTCTCTACCTCCACACTCATCTTGAACTTTTTAAATACCACTAGTGTTTCATTCTTGTTTTTCAACAAAAACACCCATATAAATTGTGAAAAATCATCCACCAGTAACATGAAATATCTGTTACCTCAATAAGTCATTGGCAAAATAGGTCCACATAGATCTCCATGGACGAGATCCAATGACTCCTTCGCACGATATGTTGTTGTTCGCAGAAAAGGAATCCTATGCTACTTTCCAATTAAACACCCATCACTGAATTGATTGACTTGGGTGATTTTCGGCAACCCTTCAACCATTCTTTTGTCATTTAATTGTTTTAAAGAGTGAAAATTCAGGTGTTCATACCTCGCGTGCCAGAGCCAACCATCGTTACTGATATTTGCCATTAAACACTCCTGATCTGCAAGCTTCAGCTTTGCTACATACAAGCTGTTGGATTTTCTGGTCTCCATAATAATCAAGCTTCTGGCCTGTCATATATCTTCATCACACAGTCCTCTATGACAATTTTATTTTCACTCTCGTCCAATTGTCCCAAACTTATTATATTGCTTTTGAGTTTAGGTATGTAATAGACTTGCGATAAGATCAAGTGCTCATCGATTTTGCATTTGAAGAGAACTATTCCTCGACCACAAATATCTATTACAGAGTTATCATCGAAATGTATCTTTCCAACAATAGATATGTCGAGCTCACGAAACACCCTCCTTTCTCCTGACATGTGGTTGCTTACTCTAGTATCTAGATACCAGGAATTTTCAACTCCAATATTGGTGGGTGGTGGCACTATAGTTTCATTCAACATCACAAAATCAGGCTCTTTGTCACGTGTAGTTTTAATTTCACACGCCTCTATCATCAACAATGAAGACTTCTCATCCTTTTGCATCTCTATCAAGTTGAGTTGTTCGTCTTTTATGGAACACTCTGATGCGAAGTGTCCCATATGCTGACACCTGTAATATTCAATTTTACTTTTGTCGAATTTCTTTTTCTGAGTTTGTGACTCTCCTTCATCTCTTCGATGTCAGTCACTTCTCCCACGGCCTCTCCATCTTCCACGACCCTGTCCCCTGCCTCCTCTGGAACTTTCTTGATCCTTCCCTTCTTTCTTTGAGGATTTTGCATTCTCTCGTCCCATCCATTCTGCACGAGTGAGGAGAACGGTTTCATCTTTTTCTCCAAACCCTTGCAACCTTTCTTCATGTGCCTTGAGTGATCCAATAATCTCATCAACCAATTTCGTTTTGAGATCACTAAACTCCTTAATCGTCGAAGTGATTTGAAGAAACTTTGCAGAGGTGGATCGTAGAAGTTTCTTAACTACTTGGATATCATCCACAACATTGCCTAGGCCTCTTAATTTGTTGACAATAATGGTGAGTTTTCCAAGATACTCATCAATACTTTCTGAATCACCCATCCTCGACACTTCAAATTCCCACTAGAGAGTCTGCGTTCTAACTTCTTTCACTCTTTCCACACCTAGATTCATAGTTTTCAACATGATTTAGGCTTCTTTGGCCATTTTCTTGGCACCCAACTGTAGCAACGTATCTTCTCCAATACTTTGCTAAATAGCAACTAAAGTCATCTTATCTTTGCGGTTATCTACTGTTTCAGGTGACTCAATTGCCTCCCAAACACCTTGTGCCATCATAAATACCTCCATCTTAATTGCCCAAGCTGCGTAGTTGCATTTTGTCAACATCGGGTATTTGAGTGTGACAGATCCCTCCTTTTCTTGAATTCGTACACTCACTTCGTTTGAGGCATCAGCTTCTATCGCATCGGTGCTTTGGCTCCTGTCACTTGATTCCTGTCTCATTTTTTTATCTCTCTCCCTTCTTGACCGCTCAATCTCTAGGTGAGACATGATTGAAAACCGACCTTGATTTTGTAGCTCTGATACCAAATGAAAGAAAATAATAGAAGGGGAGAGGGAGCAGACACACAAATTAATTTTATCTTTTTTTTGTGGTGTTTTACTAACTTAACACCATTTTCCTTATATAATAAAAAAAATAACAAATTTCTTGCTACAAATTAGCATCTACTCATTCCACTACTTCCTCACCATATCTACAACTTTTTTTTACTGAGAAATAAACAATAAAAGTAGAATAAATACTAAGAGCTATATTTAACAAATTTATGAAGCAAAAATTCTAGTTGTTCTTTTTGTCTTTAATTATTATCCTAAAATCAATATGAATACTACTATAAAACAAGTTTAGAAACCTTAACAAATATCTGATTCACGGGAATTACGTAAGCTACCGGGCATAGACATATTCTAACTCATAATAATCATGTCAAAACTTGGAGAAAACCCTTGAAACCTTGTCCTTCTTAGCTTGTATGTTTGAGAGAACTCTTTTTTCCTAGAAGAATACCTCTTTTCCTTTACTGCCTCGATCACTTCCTGATATTCAAAGCACCCTTGTATGGCCTAATCCTTTCCTCTTAATAATCGAAACCAGTGCATTCAATAGAAAGTACTAAGCTAGGGTATTAAGCCATGTGAAATCCTGGCAACTCATGCGCATGTGGCTTGATCTATCTGCTAAATTTATTTGTCAATCCTTAAAAAACCAAAAATTGGTTGATGGCTTAGGCTCTTTATTGAAATCAACATATCAAGTTGATATTAATTTTGGAAAAATTCAAATACTTAAAAAGAAAACTTTAAATCCAACTTTCTCACTACTATCTTCAAGATGACTTGTTTCCTTTCATCATTAGATCAATGATTTAATCAATTTTCTAAATAACTTTGATCTCCAAGTCACATCTAGTAAATCTTGCTAAAGTGTTCAACCATTGACCTCTCTACCCATACAACTTCTACAACTTCGAGACTTCATTTGTATAATGTTCCTATAATCATAATGAATAGGTCCTCAAAATAGGTTATTTCCTTCGAATTCCTTTGTAACACTTGGGAGAGACGTGATAGAATTTTTCTTCAAATCTATTGGTTCATAAACATGGTAAATAGTTTTGCATGTAGGAAGCTTCGAGACACTTGAAAAAGATCAGTTTCAAAACTATGCTACTTAAAACTTTAATTATTGTATTATCTTAAAAATGTTTGATATACCTAAAAAGTTAATCATTAACTTACTCAAAACCGATCATACAGACGTAGAGCACCCTTGATATGCCAAGTAAAGAAAATTGATCACACTATACTATTGAAGCATACTCACATAGAAGTATCCAAAAAGTTAACAATAGATACAACATCTAGATGGTTTGAGAATACTTCCTATGATTTAGTTATCGTGAATTCTTTCGCTCATAGGTTTAAGTAGCATTCTTGGAATCTATAATGTAGGTCTATCTCAATACATGCCTATACAAATATGACCATGATTGTAATGGCTTATCCAAACTGTAACTCGATATTTTTAAATCACCTTATAACTTTCCCGCTTGCAGTTGTTCTCCAACATAGTTTTAGTCTCACAATTAATGCTAAGCACAAGAAGATTTCTACCTTTCACTAATTTCAAAACTCAAAAGCTCAAAAACTCAAATTCCTATAATATTCACAAAACAGTTCAAATAACTTTATAGTTCGTGATTTTTTTATTTGGTAAGTCAATATCACATCTTTCCTGGTTCATACCAACACTTTAATTTCATGTTTACTACGAAGTAGTGACAATTTTTCTTTGACACTACTACCCTCCATATCTATAACAACCTATGAGATATTATTACTCTTTACCAAACTCCTTGGTTGTTTTCATTTGAAGCAATTTACTAATATATGTGGGTACATCTTTTTTCATATCTAGGGTCATAATACTACACTGTTTTTCTATATTTCAAGACATCTAATTGTAACATCTAACCTTCCTCAACAAAAATCATTTTTATATACTAGCATTAAGTATTTCTATGTTTCGAGGAATCTAATTGAAACATCTGACCTTCCTCAACAAAAATCATTTTAATGCATATACTAGTGTTAATAGCTTACGAATCTAAACATGTTTCAAATCATCAATACATTAGGTCACATTCACATTCTGCGCATATTAAAGCACATCATAACATAACAACATCATTTATTATCTTTCATAAGACATATATGATGGTAATGAAGCTGTGGTTGCAAGGTCATAGAAAATATTTTGATCCCACTCTGTAGGCTAGTCTATAGAATCAATAAGCTTGTATTTTCTATGTCAAATGTAACCCTACTTTTTCAATTAAAATAAAGTGGCTATTACATGCATGTCATGACTACGAGGTGTGAAACATAATTTAAATTCAATTTAAACATTGTCATGGACTTAAATGTACATAAATCCATTTAAAATCAAATAATATCATAAAATCGCATAGTTGAAAACCAAAAAAATTAACATCACTTATCAAATTTTTAAAAAAGATCTTACATATTTGTAATAACATAAGAACTATGACCATCTAACTATAGCAACTTCATTTACACGACCACTTCAGCACACACCATCATTCATATATGAGAGTTTTACCATTACCTAAAAAAATAGTAAATATTCATTTAAAAAATATTTATTTGTATGCCTTCATGACACAATTGTCGAAGATTCAAATATCAAATTGAGACAATAAGATGAAACTGAAAACAAATAAAAATAAAAGTAAGAAAATTCAATAAATTTAAATTGAAATAAGCCAACAACACCAAAGTTAAATCCAATAATATGACCATGTAGTTCAAAATATTACATATAGGGAAATGTGTCTGGAATACAATAATATAAAAAAAATACAAAAGATTTTGAAATGTCAAAACGGGATGATACTTTAAAACAACTCCTTTCGTGACTGTACAGCTCTCAAGTGATCCTCCACCTCGACCGATAGCCTGCAAACACTTGAAAAAAGAAAGAAAAATGATTGAGTATAAAAATATACTTACTAAGCTACCTACTTGTAAGCTCTGATTGAATCCATAACCTAGTAGATATTCACGGGCTTCTCTTTTGGTTGTAGGAAGTTCAAGTCTAAGTCTTACCCTTTTGGGGTTTTGTAAATATCCTACAATTCTTCTATTCGTTGACCTAGACAACTTGCTATATGCATTGAATGAAACTTGGGTTAAGATGCTACCTCATAGAATTCTAATGAGAAAATATGGTGTTTTCTAGTCTAAAGACACTGTTCACATTACTTGTAGACAAGAGAGCTACTTTAATCATATTTGGGTGTTGTGGAGGTCTACTAAGTTCTTAGGGGCGTCTAAGCAATTTAGATCTCATCTCTTGTTTCTAGGACGGGCAAAGTTAGCTCCTCAAGGCTAATAAAATCTATGGGTACACACAGGTCTAGACCTGTGATCACCGCTTACAATCCTGAGGTGTTCAGTAAACTGGAAACCTATTAACCCAAAGTCAACATCGCTAATCCGAGTGGAGATTGAGAGCTTGCTTTATTCGTGAAGAGAAGGGGGGCGAGGGCATCGAAGTTCAGTCTCAAAGGTCCTGCACTACTTGTAGCGTTCTAATTATATTTAGGTTCTCTAGTGCATGCTTGTTAAGGAGATAAATCGATCGATCAACTAAAGCATGAGATAACATAATCTAAACATCACTTGGGTCTTTTCTGGGAGTTGAGGAGGTCTATTGGATTCCTAGAGCAGCGGCTTCATGAAACTTTTGTTAGCAGGATTCTCTGTTCTAACTCCTCAAGTTTTTCTTAGTCTAGGATAAGGTCTAGACTCAATGATTTCCGCTCACGATATCAAGGTGTTTAGTCTACTTGAGGCATCCTAACCTAGCTCATCATCTAGCCAACCTAACTCTAAAGCATAGAGAGGAATATTCATGCTCATAGCTTGACACCTGGCACCCAACGGATAGGCTATTCAACATCTTGCGTTCGAGTCTCAGCTGAAACGTCCTCACACGATTTGCTTTCTTTTTCCTCCGTACGCAGGGTGTCCACTATGTCACCATGTGTACTTCTTCTTGCCCCAATACTCTAATCAACTTGGCTCCTTCACAAAAAATAATAATAATAAAATAAAAAATAAAATAATAATAATAAATAATCATGTAGAGTTTCAATCCATATACATACAGGTATTTTTCTTGTAATTTTTAGTCAACCAGAAGAAATAATAGAGTCCAAGTTTTATAAAAAACTAAAAACTTATCGATTTTGTAGTTTTTTTTTTTTTTTTTACAATGGTTGGAACATCACCTTACCGTCCCAATCAACTCAACCTTCCTTCAAAACGGGTGTGAAGTCATCTCAATATAAACATACTAAAAATTCATAACTTTATTCTAAGAAAAGCTCTTAAATCAGAAGTAAACCAACATCTTATCTTTAAGTTTTTCTTTCATTCTTGACGAATTTGAACCAATCAAAAGCCTAAAATAGTGAACCAATCAAAAGCCTAAAATAGTTCTCCCTAAT